TGGCTTCAGTTCAGCCCATCAGGTGATTTGTGAAGTGGCAGTATTAGTGTAGAGCTGTACAGGGTATTAGCTAGCATCACAAGTAAAAAATATCTATCTGAAGTGGTAATCCTCTTCTGACAGGACTGCATCTGCCTGTGGATGTAGAGTTTGTTGCAGAGTGTAAGGCTGTCCTGTAGCTGGAAACTCCAGGGAAGATGGGTGTTGCCGCTGAAGATGAATAGATCACATGGACACAGGTTGAGGTGTGGTGAAAAGCAAAGAGCGTTTATTTTTCCCCCCAGGATTTATAGGCTTCTGACCACGGCCAGGGATTGGATGGTCAGGATAACACTTTCTCACTGCACTGGCCATGAGAGATGCCCATCACAGGATGTGTAACAGAAAGCATGTACACATATCTATGTTTACAGTTACTCTCCTGGGAAAGTCCTTAGAAAACGATGTTAGCAAGCTCAGAAGCTGAGTTTTCAGGGCGACAAATGGGGGTGGGGGGGGAAGTTGAAATTATCAAGATGTTTTCTGGATATATGGTTAGAGCTGTCATGTGGTAAAAATCTGGAAAATTGAGGCATGCATGAAAGGACTATTTGCACATGCAGAGTTAGTCTAGCATGTATTGTGAGCATCAGCAGGTTTGCTGTACATGCAATTACCTCTCTGGCTGCACTTGCCCTGAAAAGACCAGGTTTACAAAGCACCTGGGGAGCATGTGTGCTGCATCCACAATCTCACAGTGTAGAGCTGTGGTTGGTCCGTTGATTTTCCAGCATTTCCAGGACACAGAGCTCTTTTTGCAAGTCCTGTTTGTCACAGAACAGACTGGGAAATCCTACGCAGATTTGTGATGATTCTAACAAAGCTCCCATTCTTTGGAAGAGGCAAAATTTGCAGATTCCAGAAGGCTGCTGCATAAGAAAATACTCTGTTGACCAGCTTGAGAAGGATAGTCTTCCTAGTAGGAAGAAGCTTGTGCAGAATAAATCACTCTTGGCCCCAGCTTTCTGTGCCATCCATTAATTAAATTACATACAGGCAAGATTCCATTCTTGGGTTCAGATCTCTGTGCTTGAGAGATATAAATAGAATCTAGAGCCTATAAATAGAAAACAGCCCTGAAGGGCTTTAGTTTAACCTTCAAATTCCTGAGTATCTTTTATTGATGACACATAGACTAACAATCTGCACCTACTTCTAGGGGGTTTGTTCATGTGATATGAAAGAAAATGCAGCTGAGCTGTTGTAGAACTTAACATAATAAAAGATAGAGTACATGATGAGGAAGAACTGTTGGAAGAAATAACTGTAGCAGTGATTGATTGCCATTAGTAAACTGCACTAAAGTTGACACTATTTACTTACTCTAAACTATTCTTATTGCTGTTGATAATCCAAAATTTGCAAATACGGTTTTATTATAAGGCAAGAGCACAGTCACCAAATTAGTGTGTTTTTTTCTACTATACCTACTCCAAACACCTACAAGTGGTAAAAGTTACCACTTACTTCTCCCCCACACATCCCTCCATATCACTATCAGTATTTCCACACTGTGTAGCAGTCTGCTTTTTCATTCCCATACTGATCAAAACAAGAAACCATATATCAGAGTATTGATGCAAGGTTTAAGATGGGTAGGTTTTCCAAAGCTAGAAAGTAGCTGGATATAGCAGCAGGGTGTAGCAAGCCTGCTATCATTTGTTGTGACACAGCAGTTTCTGGCAGAGGTTGAGCTCTGAATTTTGTTCTGGTTGGTCCTGAAGGTAAACTTCAGTGGAGACAGGTCACTGCTGAGGCCATTTTTCCTTGAATGTGGGAAAACCTGACTTTTAGGAAATCCTGTGTCCCACCTACATGTATTCATCAGCAGTTCTACCTGTCTGTGTGAGATCGTGTTTGGGGTGGGTTATTATTTTGGTACAATCTTTCTGTGAGATTCCTTCTTAGACATAAAGGTGCTTTTGTTACATCAGATTGTGCAATCACCAATTTTACTTTAGGAACAAGTACCATAACTATACAGTATGCTCCTATTGATGTGAAGCAGCTTTCTCCTCTCACAGCATTTGAAAATTAGGATAACTTGAATTTATTCAATAGCTTTATTTTGACCCAAGGGTAAAGCCATTTTTAATTGTTATTATTTCAAGTGGACTTAAAAAAAAAAGAGCCAAAAGTGTATAACTTGCAGAGGACTCTGAAAGGATTTCAATTCATATCTGGATCAAAGGATAGCTCTTTGCTTATGGAGTTCAGAAAAAGTGTGTTTTTGACCTTGTTTTTTGTGCTTTCATAATTGTTCTTGTGAGGATATTTTATGGACAGGAGAAGTTATGTCAAGGCTGGAAATGGTGTGGATGAAATGCAGACACATGGGTGCTGATGCCATCTCTAGACTACAAGTAGAAGCAAAACTTTGAGTTGGTGCTCTGGCTCAGGCCCAAGGTGTGTAGTTTCAAAAAGTCCTGCTGAAATGAGAGGATGCATTTGAGGTTATTTGTGCCTTTTTCCACAGATGTGCAAACTCCGTGGCCTTTGCTTCAATGCTGAGAATGAGCCCGTGTGCCATATGGTGGACAACTGGCGCCCATGTCAGCCTTTGAAGAACAGAGAAGTCAGAGCCTCCTTCCAGTAACCTCGGTGCTGAGAGTGTTAAGAATTGCTGTGTTTGTGAGGAGCCCCTTTTGCTAAACCCAAATCAAACTTTGCCATGTGTGCCCAGGCAACATCTCGTCTCCCAGATCCATTCTTTCTTTTGCTCTGCATCTGAAATGCCAGCTAATGAAATGTGAAAGGCTCTTGGCCAAAAGGGAAAGGGTTCTTAAGGTGTGGGGTGGGGGGAGGCAGGGGGTGGGTGGCTGTGTGCATTTTGGTGACTATTACTGCAACTGACATTTTGGTATAAGAGTATGTTGGCTACTTGGGAGAGGATATGGTGGTAGCAAAATAAGCCATTTTAAGAAACCTCATCCACTGGTGTGATAGTACACGTAACTAATGATAACTTGAAGCTTTGTAAGAAGCACAGAAGTACAGAATCTAGCTATAATTTAGGAAAAAAAGTATTTTGAGAAAGTTAAGCAAAATGAATATTTAGAACTAGACTTCTTAGATTTTAAGAAACTGACGTAAATATTTTTGAGACTGTTTTGCATTTTTACCCATGCTGTCAACAGCCTTAGTTATGTCTTAATGGTAGTGTTGGGATTTTTAATTAAAAATGTTCTAAATCAAATGTTTTCTTTAAAAGTTATTACCATAGAAATAATACAAAATATCTTTTCATTGAAATAATATATGTTCTAATTTAAAAAGGAAAATAATATTGTATTTTAGATAACTTCTCTAATAAATATATACTTCTATTTTTGCTTCCCTGCTGTTATTTTAAGTCCAGTAAGGAGTCACTAATCTGTTCACATGGTTGCATATTAAACATAATTACTAAATAGATACATTGGGAATTGGCTTCAGTGACACTGAACATGAATGCAAGACTATATGGATATGTTAAGAAATTTTTTCTAACTCTCTTCTCTCTGATAGCAGAAGGAAGTGTTAATTTTGAGCAATCACTAAAAATTATCATCAAAATTGAATGTATAATGAAAGATGCCCTCACAAAACATTTGAACAAAATTATACTGAAGAATGGGCTCATTAGATTCTAGTCCTAGTTTTAAAATTAATTTATTAGGAGCTTGCTACCCTGTCAAGAATCACTTTGTAATTTTAAGGTATCAGTTGGGCAGGCTATGTTCTGGATCTTAATGTGTGAGATGGAAATGAAGATATCTCAAAATGCATACAAAGATCTTTGGAAAACTGTCAAATCTCAACCTTTGAAAAGCTTCCACATTTAAAATGCCCACCATCCTACCTCCACAGGAAAAAAAACCCCAAAAAACAGCAAACAAAAATAGAAAAACCAAATGTTATTTTGTTCTAAGTTATTTTTTTTCACGGAGCTACAAAGGTAAGCTACAATCTTATCTCTTGCTACAACCATGCTGTTGGATTCAAGTTCATGTTGAGTGATTTGAGTACCTTTTGGACTCCAAGCATCACCCCCAGGCATGTGAGCTATGCATTCTTCCTAAACAATGCAAGAGAGGCTACACATGGTTCATAATGGGAATTACAGATTAAATTTATTGTGGCTTAAAGCTGCTGAAGCAAGCTAAGAGGCAATACAGAATCATAGGATGACTGAGGTTGGATGAGATCTTGGGGGGGTCACCTGGTCCACCACTTCTGTTGATGCTGGACCACCAACAGCATGTTGCCCTGGACCATACCAAAATATCATAAAATATCTCTAAGGATGGTTAAAAAAATTACTCCTAAACTTAATAAAATATTGGAGCCCTGGATTTTAAAACTCTAAACCTGTACCCTCACAACCATGATGCCCTGAATAGTAGGCAGTAAAACTGCCTGAGGAGTGGTAATCTCATTGGTACCTGGACAGCTGAAAAATTACCCAGGCTGCTACATGACAGAGAATGTCAACTAATGTCTGGGGTAAAAACCTGGCAATGCCCTTGAGGTTCTAGCCACTGCTGCAATGAAGAGTTTCATATCTTACATTCCATCACACTTCAAGGTTGCTCCATGAATAATAGCTAACAGCAAAGACAATCAACAACAGTCTTATATTTATCATCTTGTTTGTTTGAGGCTGTTGACCTGGAATGTTGCCAGTGCCATATGTTTGCCTTTGCTGAGGATGAAGTACTTCTGTATTCAGCCAGACAGTGCAATAGGTGTTCCTAGGTCACATATTTGGGTACAGGAAGAGCCTGTAGTAAGTCTTACCTGTGTGGTCTACCAGGGAACACTGGTCTTTTTCTGTAAATAAGCCAAATTACAGAATCACACCTCAGAATACTCACAAAAAAACCCTTTCCAGCCCCTCTCCAGTATAAAATGATACATGAACTTACCACAAATTCACATTTTGCAGTTAGATTCTAGTGCAATGGATAGATAACCTTTTCCAAGGGAGATGTGTTAAGTCCAACCTGGAAATAAAGAAAACCATTTCCCTGGCATTCATGATTCATTTCCTGAATGGTGAGTTCAATTAAGGTAATGGTGAACAGAAGTATCCAGCTCTTCTTTCTGACCTTTATTCTTATTTACTGCTTGCTCATATGAAGAGTTTGTAATTAGGTCTTGCAGTTGTTGCACAGCAGACAAAACACCCATTCTAACATCATCTTGTTTTAACTGAAAAACTCTTGCTGAATTCATAATGTAACTTAAGAGATCAGTTTGGTCATGGAACCAAAGATGTTCCAGTGCATGTAATTCTGTTACTGTCAAGTAGGCAGCCCTGATTAAAGGGAAATTCACATAGGAGGAAGCAAAAACCAGGGCTAGTGCATTAATCTGAAATCATCATAGGATACTCAGCCAGCACTTGGATGAGGGAAAGAGGGAAGCACATTCACTTGCAAACTGTTCATTTTGCACAGTTTGTGATCTTGTCTGTCACTTGTCTGCCAACTCCATGTGTTAGAACATTTTATGTTTTTTCCACTGCTATTTCTAAGACTTGGATGTGTCCTAGATTGACATGGGCGGGTAGAAGTGTGATTAGAGATGTTCCCAGGAAGATAAGATTAATGATGCCCTGCATGGAATCAGCAATATTTATAGAAGTCCAGATAGTTTATAGAAGAGTATCACTCACTAAATAACAGCTTTAGGATTTTCTAACTCTTCAAAGAAAAGCCATGCAATGAACAGCTGTGTCAAATCTAGAAGTCTACTTGGGAACTGGACATTTCACTGCTGTGCACTTCCTCTTTCTGTATGATGGTAAACAGCTGTGCTGCCTTGATGCCATCAATGGTTCACTCAGGCCATGAGGCTCCCCAGCCACCAACTTCCTAAAGGCAGATGCACGAAACTTTTCAGGGATCCCTAATTTTAGACCACATTTCATGCTTGTCTTTTATCCAAACTGCAAACCAAAGCCATGTGGTTTGGGTATGTCCCCAGCCCAGTCTGGGTTACAGTGCAGTGATTCTCATGTTCACCCTAATAAGGAGCTCTCCAGAATGCTCACTTTGTTCAGAGCTCAAAGCAACAGAACTCTGTTGCTGAAGGACCCAGATGTTCAGCAGACTTGGTGCTAACACAGAGTAGCTGTGCTGCTCCTAATCCCCAATTAGTCAGTTTTGTCCAGTGAGGATGCCAGTGCACTCCAGTGTATTAATCAGTAAAAAGACACCCTCAGGTCATTTGGAAAAAGGCAATACATAAGCCTTGTCTTTATAATCCTGCATGGTGTGAGGTATTCTATGTATGGAGGAAGTCACTGCTGTTTTGAACTCACACCCTTGAAAGAGCAAAGAAATGCATTGATACCATATGCAATAAATGGGTAACAGGTGCATATTAACGACAGTTTTCCTAAGGAATAGAGTTTAATGAGGCTTGTAATATTATTCAGTGGTCAAAAACCTGGAAAATTCACTGCAAAAGTATTGACCTCCTTCTGTCTTGGGAAACCCAAAGTGTTAAGGACCCTCACTCCAGTGAACCTGCAGGGCTCATCAGTGTAAAAACTGGAGCTCTTGGCCACTGAAGGATCCTCTTTGCTCATCCTGTGCCACTCTGCCTTACAAAGGAAAAAGCAGGCTGGTGTAATGACTCATTGGATATTCTCTCCCTTTCTGCTCCACAGCCGGGCCTTCAGGAGTCCAGTGCACCTAAGCAGGGAAATGGAGAACCCTTTCCCAAGCAAAGGAGGAAGGATACCAAATGATCTTGGGTTTGTGAAACTGTGTAGCAGCAAAATAATTTGTTGGAATTACTCCAAGGTCAGGGAGAGCTTCCTCTTTCCTTTGCTTAAGTCCTTCTTCAATCAGATGACTTGAGCTTGATTCAAGAAAAGGAACAGGAGCTTATTAAATGGGCTGATACATCAGGTGATGCAGGATACTGTAATTTGGATGGTGCATCTCTTCAACACTTTATTAGCTGTATAAAAAGTTTTATCAAAAATTACTATAAATAGTCTAATTGTGTCATTCTCAAATGACAGTCTAAATAATACATTCGCTGAATCAAAGTCAATACCTAAAATGCCTCTAGATACTTGAGGATGTGTTTTGGTTGTTTTAGTGATTAACAGTCATGCTTCAAGAAGGAAGGTAGATGTAGTAAAGAAAACAAAAGCAGCATTTTTCTGGAACAAAAGAGAAAAACAAGGCTTGAAAATATACCATCCTCACTCTGAATCTGTTCTTGGGAGACATTTAAAAGGACGGCATTTTGCAGATCAGCTTAAAAGAGGGTGGTAAACATAATTTCCTCCTACTCTCTGTAGAAGTGCATCAGGCTTTCTAAATACTTTCTGACTGGTAATAGAAGTCGTACCCAGACTACATTTTGAAATCAAAGTATTTAAAATTATTTTTAGAGACATAAACAAGTGTTCAATTAATGATAATGCCTACAGTTACAAAATGCAGTAGTCCCAGAATGAGTAAAATTCTCCTGCTGTGAGTTTGTAAATGTCACCTTCTGCTCTGCATTTCCTAAGGTTCTCTCTCCCTGGAGAAGAGCTCGTCACGTCATCAAGTGTATGGGGGAAGAAACACCAGAAGTTAAGGCCTGATCATGAAAACTCTGATGTGAATAATCACTTACATGAGTAATCCTATCCATTAATCGAAGTTTAATTGGTTTCCCGCACCCATTGCACAGGAAGGGCCATTCTCCTTCCATGAGCAGTAGAGTTAGGAGGCTGCATACTTGAAAGGTCAGGTGTCCTGTTTCTTTCAGTTTCAGTTTAGGGATGTGTCCTGAGGAATAGTGGAAAGCGGATAGGAGGAGGAGTGGAGGTGAGCTAGGCTGTTGGGACTGTTCATGTGAAGAAATCTGAGCATGCTCATAAGTGACTTGCAGGACCCAGCTCCAAATTTCTGTTGAGTAAAATTCTATTCCAGTCTAGTTATCTAATCCTTGTATATTCTCCAGGTAAATGGAAGTGTCAGATCATTCCCCTATGAAAATCTGTTACTATTTCTCAATTGAGCAGCTATCTAGGTTAAGGAGAGGGGACTGTGAAAGTATCTTTGCCTTTCAGAAAAAAAAATAGCAATCAGGAAAAAAAATCTAAACTAATGGAATATTGAGATAATTTTTATTTTGAGGAATAATGTCAGAGCAATTGACCTGGTTTGTCATTAATCTATGTCATTGTATGTTTATATGTCCTTACATGTCATATGTTTAATAAACTTATATGATAATAACAAAGTATACGAATAATGGTTTTTTAGACCTTAGGCCTCATATCTAACTACTGCAATATATCTAACTGCATGATAAATGTCAATCCCAATGAATAAGAAGGAAATTCTGCCCTCCTTCAGCATGCTATCTTCTCAGTAATATAAACTTCTGAAAAAGTGTTTATTTTTGTCATTCAGAGACCATTTTTCTTAGAATGAATATGAAAAGCAATATACCAATTATCACCCAGAACAAATAATCTTCATCAAGCCAATCAAATATTTTGTACTTAGGAAGTAGTCAATTTGTCTTTGATTTCAACCCTTTGCACTTTGATCAAAACTGTACCTTTTGAAGTGTTCACTACTCATAATAGGAAAAAACTGGGTCATATGTCTGCTCTAGTAAAACATACTGTGTATTTCAGACACCACAGATTTGCTTATGGTTGCTTAAAGAAACTAGAGATTCCCACTAGGATTGAAAAAAAAAAAAAGGCTTTATTAAAAGATGTTTCAAGGACTCAAATGAAACTAATTGCCCAAGAAGGATAGAGAGATAAGAAAAAAGTAGGTCTGACATAGGCAGCCATCACTCCTAGTCATTGCATTCCCAGTGACTGAAGAGCTAATCATGCCAGACTCTTAGGAAATTCAGTGCCTGCAAGCTTGATTAGGTAAGACAGCAAGTCTAATCTGCATTTAATGAATGATTCAGGAATAATGTTAAGAGCCTAACTTTATGGTAGCAGGGTGTTGACAGAATTAGGTACATGCTTTATGCCTATCTTGTGACCTAGCTAATTATGTGTTTCTAAAAAAGTTATTACACTTCTTCCATCCAGTTTCATAATTTGTTGTCTGTTTATTCTGCCAGCTAAGATCTAGCATTTTGTTAAAACTTATGCTACCATGAAAGCAGAAGCTATAAAATAATGAAAGAAAAAGGAAAACTGACTAAACCTGTTATTTCTGCAGTGCAGTGTAAACAGACAGATATTTATGCCTTCATGGAGCCCCAGTATTATTAGTGTGTATTCACAGAGATCAGTAAGAGGATTTTGACCTATATTGTTCTGAGTGCTGAAAACATAAAAGTAAATACGAACAAAGAAAACTGATCAAATATAAAAAGAAGATTAGGACTTTTTAATCCTAATAATATTTTCTTTAATGTAGGGAAGAATGGCAATTTACTTTTAAGAGGTGATTCTTAGATGTATTATTTTTCAAAAATAAATGATTTGTGAATGTTGGCAGCACTGCAAAATGTCACAAAGGGAAAATTATATTGATAAGCACAACCTGCAGTGACACCATCAAGGTATCAGTCCTTCCTGAAGTCTGAAAACCTTTCTGCATATTCCTTTTGCTTTAGCAGGGAAAACTTGCTAAAGCATGTCTAAAGCTGACCAACCCTGCCCAGGTTCCGGCAGGGAATGTTCAGGAGACAGATAATCACCACACTTTTCAGGCCTTTCTGAATGCCTTGGTCCTTCAGTCACTGAAATGAATGTGGAGAATTCATTCAGCAAGTACCACTGGTGATTGCCTCCCTCACTTTCTCAACTCCCACAGCCTCCATCACTTACCTTGTTCCCTAGCTCAGACCACACACACACTACAGTGGTCTAGACTACCACTTTGAGTGTAGATTCCCATTTCATGTTCCATGTCTTAAAAATTGGGATAACCAGGACACTGTGACACAGAGTCACGCTCTGACAAGAAAAAAGTTGCTAACAAAATAATATAGTGATAACCTATGGAGTGGCTGAGTTATGGCAACTGGCTCCTTTCTTGTGGTTAGCAGATTAAGATTCTCTTGTGGTTTTCTGGTTTTGTGTCCAACTGAATTTCTTCAGTGCTTTGGACAGCAGTGTGGCTAAAAGCAAAGCATTTGGAACTATTGCTTGTATTTTACAATGGAGAAAATAAAAGCAAACACAGAATTAAAAGTCATCCTCTGTACAATCAGAAAAAAGCCCAAGGCTCATACATTAACTAACGAGACTATTTTTACTTCCCAGCAGTAAGAAATGAGCTACTGATTGGAAGAGCAATAGAGATGTGCTTGAGAGAATGAGGGCTCTCAGCCCTTTGAAGCAGTCAAGGGAATCTGGGTTAGACAGTGGCACCACCAGTCATGCAGCCTGTGCTCAAACAGCTTTGCACCGCAGAGCTTTCCTCCTGCAGGCTGCTGTACGTACCACCAGCCTCATGAAGGCTGTGACGCAAGATCTCCACAGACTTACAAGGTTGAAAATATCCTCAACAGCTTCAGCTCTTGCACGGCATTTTGAGATGTACGCAAAACCTGCTGCAACAAGCCCAGTCTGGATATGCAGAGCTGAAAAGAGTGATGTACCGTGCAGAATTTCTGTTATAAATCCTCTGTTCCAAGGGACTGAAACACAACTGTAATTAATCACTGTAGGACAGAGCTAGGCAAGAAAGCGTTCCAGATAAGCACATACTATTTTGATTCCAGCAAAACTGAAAATATTGCAC